ATGTAGTTATACCTAAACTTACCTTCTATACCTTACCTTCTATACCTTTCCTCACTGCTTTCTACAAGGTGTCTTGCCAGTTAGTTTTCAGCTTTGTCCACAAACGCACAATGAATGGGTTGTTCTGGGTCATAGTAACCGATGAGCTGGGCTGTTTGTTCTGTAGCCTGGATTGGCTAGAAGGCCAACTCCCGTTTTGGGTCATACTCAAACTTGGCGGTTTCTCATTTTATCTAGTAAATGCTCTGGAGCAGTAAACTACAAGTCTTTTCATTGTCTGACAAGCTCTTCCTTGCCACACTAATTGCTATTTATTAGGATATTTTACAACTCAAGATAGGTGTTGACTTTTAGAAAATTGAATGTCATTCCCACTAAATTTTTCTCACTAGAATAAGGCAAATTATTCTCACTAAAGTAAGGCAAATAATTTTTTTCCTGTAGAGATAAAAATGATTTTCCATGAAAAAGATAACCTTAAAGGTTACAGTTTTATTGACATGTAGGACATTAATTGCATTTGTATCTAAGTTAGCATTCTTTCTTTCAATGACTCTACATACTTTCCCCACTCCTATAATCCTTTGAATAAACTTTTCCACTCTTCTCTTTATAATTTAAATCTTTAGAACATGCTCACTTAAAGATAAACACACACACATATATGCAACCCACAATGAAACATGACTAAATACCCATCATTATGGCTGAAATTGAAAATAATAACAATACCAAGTATGGACAGGGATGTAGAACAACTAGAATTCTCTTATTGCTGGTAGAAGTGTAAATTAAAACTATTGCTTTGAAAAATGGGTTTGTTAGTAACCACTAAACCTAAACATACTTAAACCCAATGATCTACTCCTGGGTAATATATCCAACAGAAATCCATGAATATGTCTACCAAAAACATTCATAAAAAGTTTGTAGAAACTTTATTTGTGATAGCTCCAAACTGGAAGCAGCCCAATGTCCACGAACAGAATAGATAAATTGTGTTACAGATATACAAAAGAAGTTTACGCATTAATTTAAAAGTGGACAATTGATACACGCCACCAATCTTAAATAGTAGATTAGTTCTTTTACTTCCAGACCAACATGAGTTCGAGTTTCCTTTTATAGGTTTATGAAAAGCAAGAGTAATGATCTCAACTACTTTTTCTTAAGAGAGAAGGAGTGATTACTTTTAATAGTGAACCTGAACCATTGCAATACTTATTAATGGCAGTATGTTCCAGCTTGTGGAGGTCTTGGCACACTTTCAGTATCTTGCCTCCACAGCTCCATTCTTGTCACTGTTGCAAAACTGTTGACGGCCTAGGCTCTGTGCCTTGGGGTATAGTTGCAACATCAAAAACAAGAACAAAAGTCAACTTGGAGGCTGTTGGCCCGACGAAGAATTGACAAGCAGTTGTTTCTGTAAACATTCCTCTTTGCTAAAGTTAGTTTGAGAAAACAAAAAATGACAGATTAATTTTAAACAATGCAAAATATTGGCTTTTTAATGTAAAGATGAAGGATAGTGGTGAAATCAGGTATTGGCTGGAATTTAGACAGAATTACACAGCCCTGTTCTCAAAAGAGTGGAGATGACATGCAAGGAGCCTATAATGGCAGTTGCTCCATGTGTGTGTGTGTGTGTGTGTGTGTGTGTGTGTTTGCGTGAAGAGGGAGGGAACAAGAATGCTATGAGCATTTGAAACAAGTTCTGCAGACATTGTAGATGTGGTATATGGAATAGAGCCACTAGCATTGTCCTGAGTATATATTAACATATCAGGAAATATTTGTGGCCTGAACTTGGAGCATTCTAAAAGGACTTTCCTACCTTGAATATTATATTAATAGACTAAGAGGGAGAAATTGGCTCTTTGGTTATAGTATCCATACAGCCTTATGATTTCTGAAGAATATTTAATGGGGCCTTGATTGCTATTGTGAAATGAGTACAAATAAAATTCCATATGTATTTTGTACCAAGGTAGCCATGATGCGAACCAGGGGATATGACCAAGATGAGACTGTGCTGGACACATAAGACCTTGACTAACATCTCTGATAAAGTCCTGACCAAAACCACAGGCACATTTTTGAAGGGCTTTTCTAAAGTCAAACTGCATTAATTGTATTATCTGTGGAAATACAGACTTTCTAACAATGTTCTTGTCAATATTTGGAGGTTATAATAGACATAAAAAAGTTTACTTTTGTTAATACAGCATGCAAATTATGTCACACACACTTTTTTTATTCCATTTGTCAAGGATCTTTTGGTTGAAAATTATAGATGTCTAGTGAAAGTGAAGCACAGAGGAAAGAAAATTACTTGCTCGAAGTCAAAGTTCAGAAGCTAGGCTAGTTAAAAAAAATCATTTCTTTATTTTTAGAGAGAGGGCAGGGAAGGAGAAAAAGGGAGAGAAACATCAGTGTGTAGTTGCTTCTCACACACTCCATGCTGAGGACCTGGCCCGCAGCCCAGGTATGTGCTCTGACTGGGAATTGAACTGGTAACCCTTTAGTTTTCAGTCCGATAGCTCAATCCACTGAGCCACATCAGCCAGGCAGAAGCTAAGCTAGTTTTCAGCACAGCTGGATTTGCCTGAATGCCCGCAGAAATCTGTCTCTTTCCACTTCTGCTCTCCATTCCTCTGTGTTGATTTCCTACTCTCACGGGCTTTCTCTGTCTGGGGGGAATGTTGACCAATGCAGCTCCAAGCTTAGTCGGTCCTTACAACGCATAATCCCGGAAGAGAGAGCAGACTTCTTTCTTCTCCTTCCAGTATCAGTATTTGAAAAGAACTCTGAGCGATCTGCCCGAGCCACGTCCCACTAGGTGTTCGTGCTGCACAGGTGCACGGGGGATGTGAGAAGGATCCCTTCGATAAAGGGACAGAAGAACAGGGAAGGGACATAGTGAGCAGAGTTCTGGGGGCTGTCGTGTGGGAATCCTGGGGTTAGTGGGTGAAATGAGGGGTTAGTGTGAGAAAAGAAGAAGGTGTGCAGCGGTCACACTGGCTGCCACACGGCCTCTTCTCACCCCCTCCCGCCGTTCTAGACTTCCTAGACAAAATGAACTCGTCTGCCGGGCCCTCGGCCTTGGCCACAGCACGATTGGGGGCAGGATGAAGGGCCTTTCTGTCTAAAATATATATACTTCCAGTTGCACAGTGTGTCTGGAGTGAGTTTCACTCATGGCAATACACTTCTTCTAGATTAATCTCTTACAGGAATAAAAAAAGTCCCAAATGCAAATATCTGGCAGGTCTGTCTCATTCACAAGAGCATCAGTCAAGCATAACTGGCTGCTTTCTGTAACCATCTGGAGGTCAGAAGGCCTAGGGCTCCCGAGAGGGGGAGGAGTGCCCAGTGGGCCAGCCCCCACCCACATCAGGCCCAGTTGCTGCTGGTAAAGACAGACCAGTTATCACTGAAGAAATGCTAAAAGGAATTGAGATTTTAGCTTATAAGGAAAATAATCTGCATCTTTGGGGCCTTGGAGTCACAGCCCCTGTCCGTGGACTACCCCTATTCTGCTGAGATCAATTACAGGGGCTTTTCTATTAGTTCTGTACAACATGCTGCCTTAGTTTCCTGCACAGGCTGGATGGGGGTGCAGAGAGAGATGGGCCAAGGCCAGGGCTTGTCACTTCTGATACCCACTGTAACAGGGAGTTTGTCCAGTTTACCCTTCTTTCAGATAACCCAAATAACAAATATTTCAAAATGCAGAGCAAAAATGAAAAGATTTATTAAAATAGGATGACAGTCTACTCCTAACACAAGGAAGAGTGTGACAGTTGTTCTTTTTCACAGGGCATTTCATTCTTGCCTAAGCGTGCCTGAGGGCCTTGCCTCGGCATGAAAGCAAACACGAAGCAGAACAGACAAAACCCAAACTCCATGCTGCTTAATAGCCTTCATGAGGCAACCATGACTTTTTTAAATCGGGCCTCAGAACTGTTGAATTTCATAAACGTGGATGCTGCTGGCCAGCCGTAGTCCTAACTCCTCACGCATAATTCAAAAACTGATTAAAGTAACTTTTTGTCTCTTGTTCCATGCTCAGATTCATTTTCTTCTGGAGACAGGGGAAAGGAATGAAACCAATTCTCCAGATCTTGTAGTATCTCTCCCTGTCTCCCCCATGCATTTCTTAATAATTTTTAATCCATTTATTATTCTGTATAACTAGATATACCCAGAAGTACTTACTATATTTTTATCACATTTTGGAGCAATTTTCATGAGGAATTGTACAGATGTTCTCTAACCTGTCACAAGAAAGACAGCCTTACACGGATATGTAAGACTGAGCCCAGAGTGCGAGCACTGAGCTTCAGGCCACACGCATTTCTTGGGGGACAGAGTGGCCAGTTGGAGCTGCTAGGATGTCATTGGAGGGTGTTAATCAGACCTATAATCTCTGCCAGCACCAGGCCCTCTCCCAGGTCACCTGTCACCCACTGTGTGCTTTCCACTGTGAGCCAACACTTCTGCCTGGTCCTCAACCATTCCACACACTGCACCCCCCACCCCATCCCCAGTCAAACTGTCATTCTAAGATGCTCGGACATGGAAATGACAAACGTGCAACCAGCAAGAGACTCTCCGTGGGGATGGTTGAATAGTAGGTGTGGTATGAATTAAAGTTAAGATTCCTTTCTTACTTTGTTGCTGAGAAATACTATACCCGATTTTGAGAATAAGGTTAAATTCTTCTAAGGTGATATTAAAAAATAAAACAAAAACAGAAATAAAACCCTTAATGTGGGTATGTGCTAAACAGAGGAAATTGAATTGAGTAGACATCCTTTGGTATTTGGATGCTATTGTGGATCATCTTAATCTAGATATTAATCCAGATACCATGAGGTTTTTTTTCAAATACTATTCTTATTTACACAGATAAAAATTGCTCATGAAGTAGAAATAATTTATAATAAAAAGAGCTGCATGAAAAACTATATTCATATAATATAGACGTCTATGGGAAAATCATTCATTCATGTAAAAATTTCATTAATATAAAAGTGGTATATGTGTGTCAAATTGTCTCAATAGGGAGTGAAAAAGAATGCTTCAGGATTGCTTGCCTATAATGGCATTTGTCAAAACTTAATTTGACAACAGTTTGTTAAATGCCTACTATTTCATGGTTCTTAAATTAGAAGAATGGAGATTCTTGGTAGGGATGCTACATTCAGAAGTAAAGCTCTGTATTTCATAGAACCTTTACTCTCTGCCTCTTCTTCAAATTCTAATGTGTTTTTGGGGGACACATTGCTTAACTTTAGTTTACAAATGAAATATAAAAGAAGAAAGAATGGATGAACAAAGAAGTTCCAAAAGTATAACACGACTTTAAGAAAATATAAAAATAGTTGTCAGTGAGACCCTTCAAACATGAGCCCACCCATTTTCAGAGAGCTTTTGATTTCCATGCTGCAGAGCACACCACACACCTTCAAGGGGTCTCCACACACTTCTCTTCACTTCTCCGACTTCTTCTGTCCAGCATCGGCTGATATATTTCAGCTACTACACAGTAACCAGTGTGAGGTGTTAGAGCTTCAATTTCAACAGTTCTGTGAGTTCCCTCATAGACCTTTTGCTCCTATACACAGAGAAAATAAAAGAGATGATAAGTGGTTTTCAGTAAGTCATTGATTTGCTCTACTTTTGATGCAATCAATAAGTTGTTCCTGGTCACAGTAGCAGATGGGCTGTAGGATTTCTTCCCAGACACACCCTCCTTCTCCAGAGTCCTGGATAAACAGGCAGGTCAAGGGGCTGCGTGGGTACTACGTGAGGGCGCTGATTGCCTGACCCAGTGGCCAGGCGCTTTTTCCAGAGTTTGAGCTGTGCCCTGAAGAGAATTGCATAGGTTTGGAGACAGCTGTAGACACGCAACATGTGACCACAGAGAGGCAGATTGGGGTTCTCCTCTAAGACCTGCTTCTCCATTTCGCCTTCCCAGCCACTATAGACAGAGCCTGGCAGCTCTGTATTTGTTCCTCCTGGCTGTCCATAAGATTGCTTGTCATTTCCTGATTCAACTCCTCCCACCCACCTATCTATTTTCTATTCGAACCAGACTGAATGGGGTTCTGTTCTTTAGGACTTAAGGATCCCTGTCTTAGATGGCCACCCAAAAAGGAATATTGAACTAACAAATCAAGATAAAGACACAGACAATGAATTAAAATGTCATGGCAAAATGGGCACAAATATAAAATGCTCTGATCCGAAAGCCACTTTAAAATAAAGTGTGGAAAGTCCACACAAATGAATATTTGTAGCAGTGAAATGGAACGGAACATTGCTGATGCCAGTCTTTAGACATGCCGGGAAGATTGAGCGGAGGCAAGATGTGTGACTGAAAAAAAGCAGACACACACATATATACACACACATTGCGAAGATAACACTGAACATGAATTCCTTATCAATGAGGGTGAGTGAGAAGATTCTAGAAAATATACAAGAAAAAAATAAGAATGGATACAGTAGCAAGAGAGAAGACATTTTATGATTAACATGTTAGTTAAATGAACAAAAGAAAACAAAATGCCAGACTTATCTATTCATCCGAACTTACCTTTTCTAGTGAATTGCTAATTATAAAGACTCGGTATACCAGCTCATGGTAAGTTTCCATTGGTACATTTCTTCCCTTCTGATTTCTGTATGGTGTGTTTGGGGCACGGAGAATCACAAACAAGGATCCATTAACTTGAGTTACATTCATGACTGGAGGATCTATTTTTGCTGGAGAAAAGAATAGGAGATGTTGACAAATAATTTTAAAAATGTAATGTTCACACGGATACATTTTGTGTAACAACAAATATTATTAAATTTGGAGATTGGCAAAATAATTATGAAGACATACTGCTGGCACCTACAATATAAATATCTGAGAAGTTTCTTTGAAGATACTTCTTTATTTACAAAGATATAATAGATTCTGTTTCAGCTTTCAAAGTACAATTATTTCTTCTCAGTCTCCTTTTAAGATCTGCCTCTCCAACTACGGCATCTTTTGTCAGGATTCCCTCAATACCTGCTCTTACTCCACATTCCCTTCCCAGACAATATTCTCTTCCTAGACAATTCTATCAATGCTCATTGTACTATATGCAAATGACCCACAAATTTGTGTCTCTAGTAGTCCTGGATCTGTATAAATATTTCCCTTGGGTGTCTGAAACCTCAAATGATGCTTTTAACTTAAGAAGCTTTAAAAAAAATACTGCTTTGCCTCTAGATAGACACCAGGAACCAGAACCTTATAACCTAAAAAATGCCTGCTACTCAGAAATAGTTCCCAGGTGGGTCAGGGCATGCAGTTGGCTCCTTAGGCCTATATCGCAGACTCTAGGAACACGCTGTCCTAACGTCTGAGAACTGTGTTTTCCAAAACACAGTTCTCAGAAAGCCTCAGGATCTGTGGCAGGAGAAGGTAAAGTTGGAGGGTGAGGAGACAGCAGGGAGGGAGGGGCTCTCATTATTGTTTCAGCAGAAGTCGCTCTGATTTTAATTGTTTTATTTCTATACACCGGTTTTCTTATTCTTCTACCTATAAGGTCCTGGCATAAAGCATTTTAAGTTTTTTTTCTCTTAGTAGGGTCTAGAAATAATATAACCCATTCTTAACACTATCTCAATTAAAATATAATTGAGCCAAAGCTTCACCTCATCTCAGCCAATCTCTTTGGTTAACGTTACCAAGTATCCTCATGGGTCATAATCAAGAAGGCTTTGTTTGATGGATAAATTTAAACTGGACCCAATTTCTAGGCTTGAAATCAATAAGCACACTACCATGAAAAATTCCCCTCACTGGAGTATACCAGCTTAGTCACACAATCTCCTCTTCTTTTCTTTTTTTTTTTAAAGATTTTATTTATCTTTAGAGGGGAAGGGAAGGAGAGAGGGAGAGAAATATCAATGTATGGTTGCCTCTCGTGCATCTCCTGCTGGGAACTGGCCTGCAACCCAGGCATGTGCCCTGACTGGGAATCGAGCTGCGATCATCTGGTTCGCAGGCCCTCTCTCAATTCACTGAGCTACACCAGCCAGGGCTCCATTTCTTCAGCGAGAGAATTGTGGGTGCCGAGGATTGAGCTCAAACCTCAAGGTATTCCAAGAATCAATGTGCTGGGTACCATGGATTGGTTGGCTCAATTCTGATTCTGTTCTCCTACTAGTTGAAGGAAGAGAAAACTTAAACATAACTTTTTCTAAACCCCACTGCATGTAACATTTTGGCCATGATCCAATGATTAATAGTTTGGCTCTAATGGAGGACATTGTGCCAGTTAGATTATTAGAATGAGATCTGGAAGGCAAGTGAGGTAATAAGGCTGCAAGTTTTAAAATAAATCTTCTTTCATCCTTCCCTGAAGGTAATTGCAAAATGGAGAAAGGTAAGTACAGTTGCTTTGCCTAATAATGGATCCTGATTCTGAGCTGATAGTAATCCTTGGGGACTCGGAATGCGCCGTGGGTTCTTGTAGCTGTCAGGTAATAAAAGCAAATACAATGAGATATAGACGCATACTACTGAGAGAATCAATTTCCATTTTTGTTTTCTTAGCTATAGCATGAAACTTACTATGGGATGAAAGGTCAAATGGAAGCTGATAGAATTCTTTCTTTGAACAAAATAGAAAATCAAAAGTACTGTTGCATCCCCGGGGAAACTGCAGAGTTTTGTGAGTCACAAACACCTTGAATGGTGCAGAGGCAGTAAGATGTATTACTTCCCCATTTAATTCATTTATTTGAATTATACCCTCTCCCCTGCACTCCACAAACAAAAGACTGAATAATAAAAGGGATCATTGTAAAGGTACTCAGATGGTGACCATGGTGTGATTTCTATTTGTTATAGTGTCTCTGTTCTGGAGCCAACCAGCACAGCCTTTAATATACAATTACCGCTTTTCTCTACCTTTGTCCAATAATTAGAAAGTGCCAGAAAAGTTTCCTTCACTTGGCTTTCACGGTCGTGCTGGCTCTCTGTTACATATAACGTACAGAGTCATTGATCTTTCATAGGATGTCAAGTTGGTCCACTAAATTGACCACATGATACTGATTGCCTTTGGTGTGCCTGAAGTACTAGGCACTACAGGGGCTTTAGAAGCAAAATGTTGGATTTAAATTTTCTCTGGGGCTTGTTTAGACATTTCCTCTCAAGGAAAAGACAAGTGGCTTTACTTTGCACCCCTATTGCTGAGACACTTTCACTGGGCTTGTTAGATCTCTATGAATTTTGGATGAAACATGTACAACATTTAGTTGCCCTGCCCATTTGCAAAGTATCCCATGAGATTTTGAGCTTTTGAGTGTTGATTTCTCCACATCCTCAGCAACACTTACCTGAAGTTTTATAATCGAAAAGTGTTTCTGGGAATGTGGGTAAGTCAGAACCTCACGGGAATGTAAAATGGCACAGCTGCTTTAAAAAACAGCCTGGCAGTTCTTCAAATGGTTAAACACCGAGTTACCATGTGGCCCAGCAATTCCATTGCTAAGGCAAGTGCCACCAAGAAATAAAAACATATGTCTACACAAAAACTTGTACACAAATGTCTAAAGGAGCATGATTCATAATGGCCAAAAGGTGAAAACCACTCAAATGTCCACAGTTGAGGCATGAATACACAAAAAGTGGTATATCCATACAATGGAATATTATTTAGACCCACAAATAAACTAAGTACTAAAATATGATGAAACATAAATGAACCTTGAAAACATTATCTTAAATGAAAGAGGCCAGTCACCAAAGACCACAAATTATATGATTCCATTCATATGAAATGTCAAAACTGGGGAACATTATAGAGACAGAGAGTAGACTGGCGTTGCTTAGGGCTGAAGGCGCTGGAAAAGTAAAGGAATAGGAGGGCGATGCCAATGTGTATGGAGTTTCTTTTTAGGTGATAAAAATGTTCTAAAATTGAGTGTGGGTGGTGGTTGTACATATCTGTGAATATACTTAAAAATTGGATTGTACACATGATATGGGTAATTATAAAGGTGTGATTATATCTATAAAGCTGTTTTAAGAAGCTGTTTGAAAAAATGTAAGTGGGGGCAATTTAGACCTATTTCCCCAATGATCCATGATTGCTTGTCAAGTTCATGAACAAAGCAATGGTGTGAAATGGATGGAGACCAAATATAGACTCCACAGTATGGACTTCCTCATGCCAAGGCTGAACTGACACATCTGAGTGTCCAATTTCCCAGTAAGGTGAACCAAGTCTAGTATATAGTTCCTTTTATATAGTAGATTTTTTATTCATTTCAACAGGGAAAAGACAAGTGATGCTGGAACAAATACTTTTCTTTTTCTTTTTAAAAAATATTTTATTATTATGCCATTACAGTTGTCCCATTTCCCCCCTTTATTCCCCTCCACTCTGCACACCCCCTCCCACACACGTTCCCCCCCTTTAGTTCATGTCCATGTGTCATAAGTTCTTTAGCTTCTACATTTCCCACACTACTCTTGTCCTCCCCCTATGTTCTCCCCACCATCTATGCTACTTATTCTCTGTACCTTCTCCCCCCTTCTCCTCCTCCCACTCCCCTGTTGCTAACCCTCCATGTGATCTCCTTTTCTATGGTTCTGCTCCTGATCTAGCTGTCCTCTTAGTTTGCTTTTGTTTTAGGTGTGGTTGTTAATAACTGTGAGTTTGCTGTCCATTCACTGTTCATATTTCTATCTACTTTTTCTTAGATAAGTCCTTTTAACATTTCATATAATAAGGACTTGGTGATGATGAACTCCTTGAATTTGGTCTTATCTGAGAAGCACTTTATCTGCCCTTCCATTCTAAATAAGAGCTTTGCTGGATAGAGCAATCTTGGATGTAGGTCCTTGGATTTCATGACTTGGAATACTTCTTTCCAGCCTCTTCTTGCCTGCAAAGTTTCTTTTGAGAAATCAGCTGACAGTCTGATGGGAACTCCTTTGTAGGTAACTGTCTCCTTTTCTCTTCCTGCTTCTAGAATTCTCTCCTTCATTTTAATCTTGGGTAATGTAATTATGATGTGCTTTGGTGTGTTCCTCCTTGGGTCCACTTTCTTGGGACTCTCTGAGCTTCCTGGACTTCCTGGAAGTCTTTTTCTTTGCCAGATTGGGGAAGTTCTCTTTTATTATTTGTTCAAATAAGTTTTCCACTCATGGCTGTTCCTCTTCCCCTTCTGGTACCCCTATAATTCTGATGTTGGAAGATTTAAAGACATCCTGGAGGTTATTAAGCCTCTCCTCATTTTTTTTGAATTCTTGTTTCTTCATTCTTTTCTATTTGGTTGTTTCTTCCTTCTGGTCCACTTCATTAATTTGAGTCCCAGTTTTCTTTCCATCACTATTGGTTCCTTGTGCATTTTCCTTCATTTCACTTAGTGTAGCCTTCATTTTTTCACCTAATTTGTGACCAAAATCAACCAATTCAGTGAGCATCCTGATCACCAGTGTTTTGAACTGTGCATCTGATAGGTTGGCTATCTCTTGGTCGCTTAAAAGTATTGGCTCTGGGGTTTTGATTTGTTTTTCTGTTTGAGCCATAATTTTTTGGTCAGGTTGAACCTGTTATGTATTAGGGGCAGAGACTTAGGTATTCACCAGGGCAGGGTGACCCAGTTGCTGGGTTGTGATGCTGCATGGGGGTGGGGGTGGGGTCAGAGAGGGAGCAATGGTGCTTGTCCCACTCTCTCTCTTTCAGTCCCTTCTGCCACTTCCCACAAGCAAATTGGGCCATTCTAGTGCTGGTTCCCAGGTGGGTGGGCTTGTATACATTCTAGGACCCTGTGGGTCTCTCCAACGAACTCTCCTGTAAGGCTGAGAGTCTCTCCCGATGCCTCAACCCCCACAAGTGTATTTAATTGGTACTTTTTAGGCTTTATTTCCTGGTGCTGGGGCCCTGGGTTGCATGGTCTGTCTTGCTGCCCCTTTTTGCCTGGTTTATCTGCGTGTGAATGTGTGACTGCGGTCAGCCAACTGCCTTGCGCGCCTCACTGGGTCTGCCGTTGCCGCCCCATGTATGGGGTCTGTCAGCCACTGCCTCTTCCTGCTGGGACCCCTCTCTGCCAGCTGCCGACTACACCCCTCTTACCGGTCTGGATGAATGGTTGTTGGACTTCCATATAGTTCAATTATCTGTCTGTTCTGGTTGTGTTTTTGTTTCTAAATCTTTGTTGTCCTTAATTCTGGTTGTGCGAGGAGGCACAGTGTTTTTACCTACACCTCCATCATGGCCAGAAGTCCCTACTTTTCTGATTATAGATTTGTCTTCCCTGTTTCAGTGCTTTTATGAGCAATCCCCCTGACAACCCCCACTCCACAGGCGCAATGGACACCTTATTCATGAGGCTGGTGGCCCACGATGTATTGCTTATAACAGAAGAACTAAGAAAGTGTGCAAGAAGTGAAGCCTTGCCATATATCTCTTCACTCAGCAGCCCATGGCTTTACAGAAAAGTAAGGTGGATAATGGAAAGCTCAGTTTGGGAGACAACACCTTGAGAAGCCATCTATGAATTGGTACATGTTCTGATCGTGTGACCAATAATATATGGCACTATTTCTTCCATAGACAGAATTCACTGGTTTAAGATGCAAGACGTGGGGGTGGGAGGGGCAATTTCCATAGTGAATGGCCCATGAAATAGTTGGTTCTCATGTACCTGATCCTCAATTCTTTTGGTTATAACAGCAAACATTTTGTAGAATTAGAAGTTAAGGCTTCCTCCTAACTGTTTGAAGCTCTTGGATGCATTTAACCAACAAAGAGAAAATGAGGTCCTTGTGTTGTCTAGGACAATTGGTTCTGGTTATCAGAGAAATAGAATTGCTGTAGACACAGTGGGGGCAGAGAGTAGTGTGCATGGCATCCTCTGAGGCATCTCTTAGAGCTCTATAGCCTGTGATAAAAAATTAATGTAAGATTATGTCAAGCTTACACGGGAAAGGCCAAAAGGACTCAAATTCCTCCAGACCAAAGAGCTGAGATGCTGACTGGGAACAAAGTGAACATTGATTTAACAATGAGAGAAGAAGTTATCAAGATTAACAAAAACTCCATGACTGGTTGCAGTTATGAGGACTATAATAAATACCTTATGTTCTTTCTTGTTTTGCTATGAGGATCTGTGTGCATATACATTAAACACTTTCTTTTGTGTACTCTTTTACATGAGCTCTGTTGGTAATGATTTATTTTTTCATTTACATCTTAGGTTATGATATTCTTCTTCTTCTAATGATTATGTCCATACTTAGGAAGGGTCTAGGGTTGGACAGCTCCTTTCTGCTGTCTAAAAGTCCTTTTTTTTTACCTAGGAGGTAACAATCTGGCAGAGGGATACAGTGTCAATTCTGCAGTCAGCTGCAGCGAATTTGAATCCTGATGTACATTATACAGGCTGTTGGACCTGGGCAACTACTGAAGCCCCTGTGCCTTGACTTCCTGGCCTGTGAAATAGGGGTAGTGAAAACCGCCTTCTAGTATTGTTCTGAGTATTATTAGATCCAGTAAAATGATGGTGTGGACCTCTACAAAGCATGGAGTCCCACAACTGGCTGCACTCTATGAGGGCTATTCAAGAACAAGAAAAGCAAATGCAAAGGAACTCATGGAACTCACTTTCCCACCAGGGAGTGAACCTCGGAGTCATGATCCAGCCAGAGTGGATCCCAGCCAAGGCCGTCCTCACCCTCCCGTAATAAGCCTCCTGTACATCTGATGTTTCATTGGTAAGGTCGCAAAAGAATTCTTGAGTGCCCCAACAGTCCTCTTTATTTTTCCATTGTCTCTGCCCATACCTATAGAAGGGAAAAGAGAAATGCCCAAGTTTCTTTTTTCAGTCTGTTAGCTTTTTAGACTGGTTGAAAAGTACCCTCCAATATCAGTACTATTGTGAAAGCTTATGGCTACTCTAAAGTATTCTTAAAAAGATTTCTTCATGTTAACCAGAGATAACCATGTTGTTTCTTGCTGAAAGATTAACTCAAGCCCAAAACCTCTATAAATATTTAAATACTTAGTGCAATTTTTCTTCTGCTGTATGGACCAACTTTTGTTTTTGAAAAGTAGCTCTCCACATCCTTAATGCTTCAGAGGTTTTAACTCTGTGGTTTTCTTCACTTCTCATCAGCTTGTTTTTGAGTAATGTGGTTGATTCTGAGAAGTTGCTACTATGTTTGATCTTAGGTGATGCTTAGCCAACCCATACAGTTGATTTCTTTATTGGAAATCAAGCGGGGATTGTAGTTAGGGCTGTATAAGGAGTCCAGTAATAGGGAGCTGGGAGAGAAGGAGGAGTAACCATGAAACTTAAAACAAAAAGTTAGTGAGGCAGAGGCAGAGGCAGACAGATTGAGTCACCCCGAGACTAGGGGATGGGGCGAACGGCGAAGGGGAAGGTTAATGCTTACTTCCTTATCAGTGACAAATGGAAGAAAGTGCAATGAGATGATGGTGAGGACAGAGCAGGAATTAGTCTGGGAGAAAGCTTTCTAAAATATTTGGCAGAGGACTTGAAATCTATGACTTTCTACAGGATGAAGATTAGGCTGACGTCTTTACATTGTAAACTATGTATCAGCAGTTTCCTTATATCAGAAGGTAACATTAAAACAGAACCAACAACACAGATTGAGCACAATTTAATGGCTTTTAATTGTTCTGTATTGATAAGACATTGTCTTTATTGAATTCAGCTGTGATGACTGGCCTCTCTGTTAATGTGGCACCTTGTCCTTTTGTCCTGTCCCACATGGGACAGACATTAACCGCAGACTAATGTGCGCTGGATAGGACCAAAGTGAAAAGTTTCAAAAACATAAATCTGCACTGTGCTTTGGAAAACTACACAGAGCTAAGAATAGGTCCAGGCAGTCTGAATTTTATTCAAGTTTGGGAGCCCTCTTTAAGAAAAAGTATTGCGAATATACAATTCTTCCATGTTGCCCTAAATTTTAACTTTAATTAGTATCATGCTATGTCACTTTTTATGTTGGGCCACAAGCAGGCCCACTTTGGACCTATTTAGACTGCTTGCGGGGGAAGGGGGACAAAAAGAGCACCAATCCCAGCTTCCTACATTACAGGAAGTATTTCCAACTATGCACAAGTCTATTCTTGGAATGGAGAAATGCTTATTGTAAAGATTTGTAAATTATACCCAAACGTAAGAAAAGTAGCAGCAGTTAAAGACTGATAAGCTTCTAGAAATATTCCTTCTGAAGTTAGTGAGAGGTTAATTTATGAAAAAAATCTGACCTTGGACCTACTCCATGCTCTAGAGACATGATGAAATCATGAGGGAGAGACAATTTATGGAATAAAAATTTTTATTTTGGTCCATAGCTGCATCTGATTTTCTGACTACCTGATGAAAAACCTTGAAAATTATACCATAACAACTTCTGTCTCATGCCCAGCCAACATAGCAAACTACGTAAGAGAAGGAAGAATCTCAAAAACCAACAGCAAATCAACCAAGCCAGGAAAGGTATGAGTGGCAAAACCTGCCATTTGCAAATTGGGAACCTATGTTTCCAGGCCTCTATTCAGGGGAGGAGTTGATTGTATCTGAGTTTTGGCAGTGATGCCCCTGAACTAGCTTGAAGATCACACAAGAGGAACACGCATCGGCATGTTCTGATTTGTGTTCATGCTTACAGGAATCATTAATTTTTGAAATGGATTTTCTAAATAGTAAACACGCTCTAAAAAATGACTTTTAAGGTAAAAATGTATCTTACACACTGACCTCCAGGTGTCCCACAACTTCTTTGTCCAGTGTCAGTAATGTCAACTGAGTTAAGTGCCTACTATGTGCTAAGCAAGTTGTTTCTCACGCTCCCTTGACAAACACGTACTGAGAGCCCACCATGTGCAGACTCTGTTGTGATGCCTAAGGCAGAGCATGTAGGGACTTGGCACTGAGTTTTCAGGGGCTGACATATGTCCCCAACGAGCTGCATGGCATTATGCATTTTGTGTCACCAGATGGCCTTCATGTCTTCATGGGAGAGAAGACAATCTGTCCCTACCTCTGCTTTTTCTTAATCTCTCTGAAACTGAGAAAGAGCTCAGATCCTAAAACTTCATTGCATGCTAGACCATGTTCTCCCAGCGGCCATGTCCATCAGCCGGAGAAAACTCAAATTACTTACATTTTATACTGCACAAAGTAGACACTGCGGTTGCTCGCACCAGCCCTCCCAGGCTGCCAGTGCAGAACGTTGTGAAAATTTCGGGACTGAAAATGTACTCTCTGAGGCTTCAGAGACTCATGGGCTGGATGAGTTTCTAAAATAATAAGAGAAGGAAAAACACTGAAAATTGATACGGGCGCTATTTCCAGTAGTTTTCAATGTAATACCTGAGTCAAGATTTCCTAAAGTCATCACTTTCATTGCAGATGGTGGAAGTGGAGCCCAGAAATCACACTTTGAATCTTCAATGTGATCATTTTATGTACGCTGAAGTTTCAGAACAATTGTGTTTCAGACTAAAAACATATAAGCGATATATCCTCCCACCCCATTCCCAAACTGTAGAGGAAGTACATAGCACTGAGGAAAATATTATCTTTAGTCCCTTCCCTGATGGCCACGGGATGTAATGACTGAGATGAAAGACCCCCACCCAGGCTGCTCGCCCACCTTCCTAGGAGCCACCATATTCTGCTGCCCTGGGGCAGAAGTTTGCCTGGGGTCACTTTTGGCTCCAGAACCTCAGGCCAGCACTTGGTTCCTCCTTTCTCAGTCTCTCGCTCAACCTCTGGGTCCTGCCTCAGTGTCCTCCCCCACTCCCAGCAACCTCGCTGCGTTGGCAGTCAGCTTTGCCGTCCCTCTCCTGAATGGCTGCGCTTACCTGCCTGAACCCTGGCTTCAGGCAGCCCAGCGCAATTGCCCAAACTGGTAGCTGCTGTTGAGGGAGACTGCCCAGACCCTGCTGGGGGGCCTAGTGGCCCCGAGAAGGGTCTCAACAGCAATCCCAGCAAGAAAGGGGATAACTGTGCCCTGACATGGCTTGTACTTGCCTCCTCAGGTCATGTGGCATGGGTGGCCCGGTCTCACCTGCACTTGGTCCCATGGAGGCAAGAGACCTTTGACAAAATTTTCTTCTAGAATCTGAAGAGAACCAGAATATGTCACCCTAAAATATGCCTCTTTGACATGAAAATTATTTTGAGCTCAAGGCAAGTAAGCAATATATCCAGTAAAACCTTTTTAAACCTTCCCCCTTTCCTGCCTAAAGGCAGGATATGAAGTCTCTTTTTACAGGAGACAGATCCCTGTCAATCCAGAGATGGCGCAGGAGGAATCCGCCAACAGCCCAGCTTCCTGTGACATGTTTAACTTTTCCAGAGTTTTCCACTTTTGGAAGACTGAAATTGTTTGCATTTCTCCTGTCCTGTCTCTACAAATGTATTTTTTCCCCTGAAGATACTATGTAAGATAAAAATGTTCTAACATTTAACATTTTAACACCTAACATATATCATTCTAACCCACCATTTTGAGTTACTCTTTTTTTTTCTTTTTAAAGATTTTATTTATTTATCTTCAGAGGGGAAGGGAAGGAGAGAGGGAGAGAAATATCAATGTATGGTTGTCTCTCGTGTGTCCCCTTCTGGGAACTGGCCTGCAACCCAGGCATGTGCCCTGACTAGAAATCGAACTGCGATTCTTTGATTTGCAGGCCCGCGCTCAATCCACGGAGCTACACCAGTCAGGCAATTTTGAGTTACTCTTCATTTAGGTTTCTCCTTTGTGATGTGCTCTGCATGTATTAATAACTTGTTTTTCTCTTGTTAGTATTTCTTTTTGTTAAAGAATCCCAGCCATAAACCTAAGATGTGCAGAGGCAAAGCTTTACCTCCTCAGCAGGTCCAAAGTTTCTGAAAAGGGGTAGGAAGTGGGACAGGAGGAGGAGTCAGGAAGCATATCCTGTCCCCGGCCCCCCCCCATCCCCCCCACCTCATTTTCTCTTCCTGCTCCAAGGGGGATGTGGTCTCCCTGGAGGGTCTCTGCAAATGTCCTTCCCTTTTCCTGGAATACCCACATACCTCAAATTTTTGCTCAAATATCATTGAAGTGGAAGCAAACACTCCTAAACTTGTGACCTCGTTTCTGAACACTAAAGATTTGATATTTCCTAACATTTCCTTAGGTGTTTTCCTATGAACCAAATAGTGACAATACTGTTATTGGAGGGGGGTTGTTTTTCTTGTTTGGACCTCCTTCCGTATATCAAATGATGGCATGTACTTGGAAAGAGTCCATTGCTACCATTAATTTTACTCACCAAAATTGTTACCTAATCAATCATACTTAGTGCATACAAATTCCAAAAGTTTTTAGGGGCTGACAGACACACATTCATGAAGCCCTTGCCTAGAGCTGATGCCGCCCTGAAGACAGTTGGCTTGGTGCCCCTCATCTCATTTGTCCAGGGACTTCTTCTCTCGTCATGACCATCAAAACAATAGCAAGTCACTGTGTACCTGACACTCAGGGGCTTTTACTTGCAGTAACTCCTGTAATCTGCACAGCTCTTCTATGAAGAGGTACTATTGCCATCTTCCTCTCACAGACTGAAAACTAAGCCTCGAGGAGCTGAAGGAACTTGAGCAGCAGCAAACTCCGGAGCCTGCCCGTTACCATAGAAAACCAAGAGCAAAGCCTCAGGAGAGGGGAGCTAATGGAGAGCAAAACAACTACAGGCTGGAGGTATTCCTCCTCCTCCTCCTCCTCCCTCTTTCCCTTCTCCTCCCAGCTGGCAGTCATTGAACACTGAAAATATATATGTGTATTAAACATGTATCAGGCACAATGCTCAAAGCTTTACTTCTTATTGCATCCCCACAAACACCAAATAAGGCAGGTATTTTTGTTCTTATTTTTATAATAAGGAAGCTGAGACTTAAAGAAGTTGCATATCTTGCCCAAGGTTATGGTTCTGGTAAGCTTCAGAGCCAGGATCATTCTGGCAGCATACGGGTTCCTGCCATATACGCTAATTTAGTCCTTGGTATTACCAAGGACCAAAGGCATATTCTACATAACTCCATGCCATCCTGGGAGATGGAGGCTTGCACTGTTTTTATATTATCAGTCACTAGGCAACTGAGCAGTTTCAGGAAACTTACTTGAGCCCCTTACACTGAGAGGTACCCATCTGTTAACTGGGGTTTCTGATGGCCTTGGTCAGAGCTGTGTTGGGGTGATAAATGGTCTCTGCTGTTGAAGAGTTCTCATAAATACCGAGGGCAAATTCTCATATTTTTTTTATTGTTTGTAGTCTGTGCCAGGCATGGCTCTAAGTACTTAGCATATATTAATTCATTTAATCCTCACAATGCATACAATTTTCATTCCACAAATGATAAATTTGAGGCATAGGGATAGCAAGTCAATTGCCCAAGTTCTTTTAAAGAGTAAATGGCAGAGCTGAACTCTAGACTCAAATGGTCTGACTTAGAAGACTCCTTGTACCCACTATGTTATCACATCCCCCAAAGGCAAAGGAAGTGGCAAGGAGACAGAGGTGGGTGTGCGCGGGGCCTTATGAAGTGTTTTGTGCCCACTAGGAGTGCCTCCTCTGCAGCAGCCACTCCCTAAGCCCACGTGGATTTATTCAGGCTGCAGGTACAAACTGACTCTACATCTGTGCTGATCACTGTGTGACAGAAGAAGGCTGAAATTTTTACAAAGCCCAAAAAAGCACCAGTGTCATTTCTAACGGCCCCTTGAACACACTCAGATGACAAAACTGTGAGCAATTAAAAAGAAATGAAGGACTTACCTGCTACACCCATCAGGAAGAGACTGATGAGGAAGCCTAGAAGGCTGTGTTCAGGCGTCATGGTTGCAAGAGGGACTGGTCTGGCCACCAGCGTTCCCCCGAATGAGAGCACAGCTCTGAACAGAAGAGGAAACTAGAATCCTCACGGGGAGCATCTCACGTGAGTTTAGCAGTGGTTCCTTGGAGCAATCACAGATTTATTTGTTAATACATTTTATTATTATTTGGGAAATTATGAAAGTAAAACAGTTGCTTCCAAGGACATTTACTATAAGTCACTTTGATGTGGAAGCTTGATGTTGCAGTGATTAGGGATTTATTAACCATACAAAAGCCAAAAATAACACTGAGGACTAGTGGAGGGCAGGGTAGGGCAGAATTGTGCAAGGTGCTCACAAGTGAGTGGATGGAGGAACTCATGAAATCTTAAAGGAATCTGAGCCCTAGAGGCAAAGAGGTACCAGCCCCAATTTTGTTGATATGCTGATTATGAGTAAAGTGCCTGGCAGTTACAGCTATCAGTGTTCAAAGGAAGTGAGGTCTCTGATTGGTTCTTCCTTTTCCTCCTTTATCGGAAGCTCTCTGAGTAATGTCCCTGGTACACCTCACACCCTCCACACCCTCTGGCTCTCCTCAGGGCTCACTGCCACACTCAGGTCTTCCCAGTCTATGGTGGCCTTGAGCCCCACCCCAGTAATGCCTCTTCCTTTGAATTGCCACCCTCAGTGCCCATGCATCTGATAAATATTTTGAGTAATTTTTGAGTAAGTCAAACCAAATGAGTCCTTAAAAGGACGAAGTGGAGAAATCATTTTGAGCTCTATTAGATCTTTTTCATATCTTCTTGGAAATCTGATCAAACTAGGTCATCTGTTCTTTGCCCATTATTCATTATATCTTCCTTCTTACCAAAAACATTTTATCACATATCTTTAGAGGCACTGAAAGTGTACACTAAAGCACAAGAGAATCAAAGATATTTTTAAAAAGAGGCTCAAAAGAGGAAATACATTTTGTCTTCTTTTTCCTCTCGTGTAGTCTCTTTCAAGTTCTTGGTAGAATAGTCTCTTTAGTAAGGAACAGTGATGGCTGTTGAACAGTACTCATTCATTCATTCAGTAATTTAACACATATTTGCCACACTAACACATGCCAGGCATTGTTCTGAACACCAAGGCTGCAGCAGCAAATAAAAGGGACATTGCCCCTGCCCTCCCAAAGCCTACCTCTAAAGGGGGAAACAGACGTCCGGCAGACGTGAAGGTAACAGCAGGTGTTCTGGTACCTCCAGGTTGTCAGACTCCTGAATCTAGACTCCTTATTTCCTTCTCCTCCCAGTGAAGTTTCCATTGCTTTTAAGGTAACTTAGGTTTTCAAAGAAGAAACTTGCGGCATATCTCAGGTTTTCAAAGAAGAAACTTGCGGCATATCTCAGGTTCATTCCCTTTGCACCTTCAGGGTGCTCCTTACCTTCCTACCCTTATCAACCTCATCCTTCACTCACTTGCTGATAATACCCTCTGAACTCTAGACTTTGCAATAATGCTGGTATTTATTTATTTATTTAGTTAGTTTTTAATCTTCACTTGGGGATATATACTTTAATTGATTTTAGAGAGGAAGGGAGGAGAGAGAGACAGAGAGAGAGAGAGGGAGCGAGAGAGAGAAACTGATGTGAGAGAGAAACAATCGGCTGCCTCCCGTATGTACCCTGACCAGGGATCAAACTTGCAACCTTTTGGTGTACAGGATGATGCGCCAACCAACTGATCCACTCGGCCAGGAAAACAGTTTTGGTATCAAAGGGGAGATGATAATCTGTATTTGCACTATTGATGTTTAGTATCTTCAACACCAATAGTTCTTGTTTTGAAGCAAATTACTCCAAATTCCAGTCAAGGAAAATATTTTTTTCTTTATCTTTTTAAAATTTTTAATATATTTTATTAATTATGCCATTACAGTTGTTCTATTTCCCCCTTCATTCCCTTCCACCTTGCACACCCCTCCCCCACCATTTCCCCCTTTAGTTTATGACCACGTATCTCAAGTTCTTTAGATTCTATATTTCCCCTACTATTCTTGCCCTCCCCCTATCTATTTTCTACCTACCATCTATGCTACTTATTTTCTGTACCTTTCCCCCCCTTCTCCTTCTCCGACTCCCCTGTTGCTAACCCTCCATGTGATCTTCATTTCTATGGTTCTGCTCCTGATTTAGCTGTCCTCTTAGTTTGCTTTTGTTTTAGGTGTGGTTGTTAATAACTGTGAGTTGGCTGTCCTTTCACTGTTCATCTTTTTTATCTTCTTTAACATTTCATATAATAAGGGCTTGGTGATGATGTAGTCCTTGAATTTGATCTTATCTGAGAAGCACTTTATCTGTTCTCCCATTCTAAATGAAAGCTTTGCTGGATAGATCAATCTTGGATGTAGGTCTTTGGATTTCATGTTTTGGAATACTTCTTTCCAGCCCCTTCTTGCATGTAAGGTCTCTTTTGAGAAATCAGCTGACAGTTTGATGGGAACTCCTTTGTAGGTGACTGTCCCCTTATCTCTTGCTGCTTCTAGAATTCTCTCTTTCATTTTAATCTTGGCTAATGTAATGATGATGTGCCTTAGTGTGTTCCTTCTTGGGTCCAACTTCTTGGGGACTCTCTGAGCTTCCTGGATTTCCTGGAAGTCTATTTCCTTTGCCAGATTGGGGAAGTTCTCCTTTATTATTTGTTCAAATAAGTTTTCCATTCATGGCTGTTCCTCTTCCCCTTCTGGTACTTCCATAATTCGGATGTTTTTTTAAAATTAATTTTATTTAGTTATTTTTCAAATACAGTTTTTTGTCTATTTTTCTCATCCCAGCCTCCCCCGCCCCTTATAATTTGGATGTTGGAACATTTAAAGATGTCCTGAAGGTTCCTAAGCCTCTCCTCATTTTTTTGAATTCTTGTTTCTTCATCCTTTTCGGTTTGGTCATTTTTTTTCCTCCTTCTGGTCCACTCCTTTGGTTTGAGTCCCAGATTCCTTTTCATTACTATTGGTTTCCTGTGTATTTCCCTCCATTTAAATTAGTTTAACTTCCATATGTTCCTCTAGTTTGTGACTGAAATCAACCAGTTCTGTGAGCATCCTGATCACCAGTGTTTTGAACTGTGCATCTGAAAGTTTGGCTATTTCTTCATCGCTTAGATTTGTTGGCTCTGGGGCTCTGATTTTTTCTTGAGCCATGTTTTGATCTGTTTGTGCTTGTTACATATGAAGAGTGGAGCCTTAGTTGTTCACCAGGGCGGGGCCACCCAGGTCGCTGGTTTGTGACACTATATGTGGGGGCAGGGTCAGAGAGGGACAATGGAGGTTCTCTCTGCCACTTTCTGCTGCTGGGACCTGCGCAGACTGTCTCACCACCGCTAGCTCCTTCACCGGTTTATCTGCGCGCGAATGTGTGACCACGGTCCGCCCTCAGTGGGTCCCCTGCCTTGCGCCCTCAGTGGCTTTGCCCACTTCTCCACACCTGGGATCCACCCACAGCTGCTGGCGCACCTGGGTCTGCACCCAGTCGGTCTGGTGGATCTTTCCTGCCCGACCCCGCTTTGCTGCTGGCTCTGCCCCTCTTACCGGTTTGGCTGAAGGGTTCGTTGTTGTCAGACTTCTGTGTATTTCAATTTTCTGTGGTGTGGCTGTGTTTTTGTTGCTAAAACTTTGTTGTTTTTAAACTTGGTTGTGTGAGAAAGCGAAGTGCTTCCACCTACGCCTCCATCTTGGCGGAAGTCAAGGAAAATATATTTGAATTCAAGGTTTAATAAGCAGGGCAGCAGAGAGTGAAATCTGGATTTCCACTGGGTTAGTGACTTTGTAGAACAAATAAAGAAAAATTAGAAAATTGGGGGGGGGAGGGAGAAGAGCATACAGTATACTCAAACTCGAATTCTCTCCAATGTGTGAGCTTTTGTGCTGTGTTAAATTTCAGAAACCAAACCTGTCCTGTTAGCATTCCGTGACCTCTCGAAGTGTGTGATACCATACCTGCCAAATGCCAACACTGACAATATGCCTCAGTGTGGATGAAAAGATAAAATTAAATTATAAAATCCCCCCAAGTTGGGAGCAGAAGAACTTGTACAGAATTGTTTCAAAAGCAGAGAGCAGAATGAACCTCCATGTACTTAAACACCCAGTTTCAACAATTATCACCTCAATGGCCCTATTCCCCAACCACCTGGATTATTTCCAAGCAAACGCCAGACATCCTGTCATATCAGCTATAATACTTCAATATGTGCCTCTAAAAAATAATAATACAAGTTATAACCAGAATCCAATGTCACATTTAAAAGTAATTAATAATGACTCGTTGATTAGATGAATTATTGGCCTGTTAGAAGCCACAAGGAGAAAAGGAGAAAACAAGGTCTGTCTACCAGGCTTGCGCTGCACAGCAGGCCCTGAGCTAGGCCTGCAGCGGTGAGCAAGGCAGCGGATCCAATCCCCATGGAGCCAGCATCAGTTTCCTCAGCCAGGGCTTGGTAGTGAGAGGCCATGTGTTCCTTATTTGCCTTCAGAAAAGTGTTTAAATACTGATCTTCCGGGCTACTTCACTGGGGGTGCGGGGTTATTCAAGGGGTCAAATGGAACTGGTTTCTGCTCCAGGTACTTTCCCTTATCCTGTAATTTAATAAGCAGCAGGAGAGCTTTTTAAAGGTCTACAGTGAATTATAACTTGAACACCACCCTTCTCCCCCTCAGACCAACAGGGAATCATGCCTATAGTAATAATACCTGGGAAACTATTTGTCCTCTCTTGTCTGCTGAACCCTCAATGACTCACCTGAGGAACACCTATGACCTTAAGCAGTTCTACATTCTGGAAATAATTGTCATGAATTCCAAAATAGTTTATGGACTTGAATTCAAGAAAAAGAACTTCATTGTCAAATACAGGCAATAACCACAATGGTCCATCTGATCAACTTGAATTTTGATTGATTTTAAGACTATGAACACTAATATATTATTTAAAATCTCCATTCATAGGACTTAATGCTTCATTAACATAATTTTTTCTGTTCTTCATTTATATTTTTTCTGGACAA